GGTGGATTACCTCATCTTCCTTTGGGGGATAGAGAGGGCCCATGTGACAGATGACCTCATTGGCGCTTACCAGAAAATTCCTAACTGGTTAAGACTACATTTCTGGGGAAAGTTATAAATGCCATTAGGTTAAGGATTAAGCCCCAGTTTGGTGACTTGGCCTAGCATAAGTGACTCCATTTTGGGCCTGGGTTTTCTTTTTTTAGTATCTGCATGGTGTGTTTTTTGTTTGTTTTTGTTTTTGTTTTTGCATGGTGTGGTTTTTAATAGGAGCGCATATTGTTCAGCTTGATAGTTTCAGTGACCACAATTTATGAACTAGTCAGAACATAAGGCTGACAAATACGAATTTTTATGGGGACAATGGAATAAAATATTTTCTAATTGAGGTCATCCTAGAAAGTGAAGTAACTCTCTTTTTCTTCTCTCCCTTATCTGCCTGAAAACCTCACTCCTGTAAACAGCTTCTCTGGTTTAAATCTAGAGTGAAGAACATTGGCCTTTGAGTTATTCATTCATTGAATGCCTGCCAGGGCCCACCTTGCCGTGTTCCAGCCCTACTCTCCTACTTACTATCTGGCTGTGGGCTCTCGGTCTTTCGTATCCCTGTAAGATAGGGTAATGATACTTGCTCTGCCTATGAACCCTCCTAAAAGCATAAAGCTGAACTAAAATAAAAATGGCTGCACTAATGCTTCAGCGAAGCTTGATTTTAAAGTAAACCTTCTCTCTTCCGAAAACCTCCCTCTTCCCTTCTGAGCCTTTTCTTTCAGGAATCTGGTACCATCCTGAAAATCCAACTAAGGAGCCTGGGCAGCACATGTACCATTCCTGTGAAAACTGGCTAGATCCTATATTACCCTATAACTCCCACGCCCCCATTTCTCCCCCCCCCCGCCCCCCCGCCACCCTTCCTCAGGGCAGGCTTTAAGTCTTTGAAGGCCAGAGCCTGCTGCCTGCAAAGCAATAAAGATATTATCCTTCCTCTTTGTTCCAAACTCCATCTTTGCTGCGAAGCACAGAAGTTGGTTTTCACCAACACCTATATCACACAGATATAAAGATGAAATGAAACAATGCTTTTGAAGGTATCTGGAACCAGGAGGGTAAGAGCCCTACATACAAATTTGAAGTTTTTATAAATCATGGTTGGGGCATTATCCAAGGTCACAGGTAAAAAATTAAATTCCCACCACAAGAGACTCTCAATGGTAGAGAACAAACTGAGGGTTGATGGAGGGAGATGGGTGGGGGATGGGCTAGATGGTTGATGGGTGTTACGAAGGGCACCTGTTGTGATGAGCACTGGGTTTTGTATGTAATGATAAATCACTGAGTTCTACTTCTGAAACCAATATTGCTCTGTATATTAACTAAAAAAAAAAAAAAAAAAAGTTCGATTTCCAGGGCATCTGGCTGGCTCAGCTTGGGGCCTGTGCAACTCCTAATCTCAGAGTTGTGAGTTTGAGCCCCACGTTAACTGTACAGATCACTTAAAAGTAAAATCTTAAAAAATCTTAAAAACTCCCCCGCAAAAAAGTTCAATTCCCCCCAGGAGAGTTCAATTTCCTGCAGTTAGTATCCAAAATATAAAAACTTACACAACTCAATACCAAAAAACCAAATAATCCAATTAAAAAAGGGCAAAAGACATGAACAGACATTTCTCCAAATAAGACACACAGATGGCCAAAAGACACATGAAAAGATGTTCCATGTCACTCATCATCAGGGAAATACAAATTAAGACCACAATGAGATATCACCTCACACTTGTCAGAATGGCTAAAATAAAAAACACAAGAAACAACAAGTGTTGGCAAAGATGTGGAGAAAAAGGAACCTTGTGCACTGTGGGTGGGAATGCAAACTGGTGTCAGCACAGAGTCCAATCTGGGACTTGAATCCACGAACCATCAGATCATGACCTGAGCTACAGCTGGACACTTAACCAACTGAGCCACCCAGGTGCCCCACAAGACAGTATTTTTTTTTTTAATGTTGATTTATTTATTTTGAGAGAGAGAGAGAGAGAGAGAGAGAGAGAGAGAACATGAACTGGGGAGGGGGGCTAGGGAGAATCCCAAGTAGTTCAGATCATGAGATTATGACCTGGGCTGAAATCAAGAGCTGAACACTTAACCAACTGAGCTGGCCAGGTGCCCCACTCTTAACTATAGAGAACAAACTGGTGGTTACTAGAGGGGAGGTAGGTGGGGATTGGGTGAAACAGCTGAAGGGGATTAAGAGTACACTTATGATGAGCACTGAGTGATGTATAGAATTGTTGGACTGCTATATTGTACACCTGACACTAATATAACACTGTATGTTAATTATACTGGAAATTAAAAAAAACATGGAAAAAAAAAGTTCAGTTCCCTGCAGATGGCAAGTATGGAATAAATTAAATGGACAGTCCCGAAATGGATGTATTTTGGGGTAACAGGAAATTGCCCTCAGGAAATAAAGTCACTTTTGGAAAATGGCAAAGAATCTGTGCATAATAGATGAGACCATCAACTCCAGAAGCATTTCATCCTAAAAGACAGCAAATGTTGTGTGTCGGAAATTTGGGGACACCCAAATCCAATTAGTATCCAAATGTATTGCGTGCTTGCTAAATGCAGGGTGCCATGCAAACACTTTAGTTATTTGATCCCCATAACAACCCTATTATCTCCACTTTACAGAGGAGAAACGTGAGGCACAGAGAAGTAAAGTGATTTGCCCAAGGTCATCGCAGGGAAATGGTAGAGCCAGGATTCTAATTTCAGATAGTCTGACCTCAGAGCCTGTGTGCTGAACGGACTGCTCAGCTGAAGCGGTAGGAGCGCATGCTCAGGAAAGTAGGACTTAATATAGAAAAAAGGGGTGGCCTTTGAATATCCAACTGAAAAAGAATGTGTTAACATACTGTTTCTAAACTTACCAGGTAACAAGAATCATTATTCTTCCCGTAATTGCTTCTCAAGCTGTAATGTACATATGAATCACATGGTGACCTTGTTAAAATGCAGATTCTGATTCAGTAGGTCTGGGTGGGGCCTGAGACCATGCATCTTCCCCTTTGCTCCTAGTCTGCAGACCACACTTTAAGGAGCCAGGCTCTGGGCAGAGGGCAAGAAGGTGCCCATCATTAGAAAAGGATTTGCCCACTGAAAATGAAGAAACTGGGTTCTGCTCAGAACCTCAGTGTCCCATGAAGCCGCTTCCAACAGCTAAAGTCCCACTTTGAGGCTCCAAACACCTGAATTTCTGGGCCTGCCCAGGCTCTGATCTCTCCCCCAAGTCAGACAGCTTTTTCCTTCAGCTTTACCCATGGGGCCCTGTGGAGTTCTTGGAGAGCTTTCTCTTGCTGAGGCAGTCAGAAGACTGAGGGGGCTGTGGGCCAGCTGAGCAGGGAGCCTATGGAGAGCAGGAGGCTATGCCGTGTGGGGTAGACTCTGGGATGAGTGGCCTGGCACTCTCTTGTACTCTGGAAATGTTTGGTGAGAGAATGAACGATAATAAGGGTGTACTGGAAAATAAACCATGAGAGTACAGTAGTGGGAGGTGTGCATGGTGGGGGTGGGGGGGTGGGGCGGGGAGTAGAAGGTTGACTTTGCTTCCTTGGCTGTTATGTTCATGGCCGGTCCTCAGCATGAAGTTCTAGATCTAAGGAGTTTGTGTTTTGTGAAGGCATGGGCTGGTCAAGCTTGCTGATCTGCCAGATCTATAGCAGACTATTTGTTGAGTGAATGAATAAATGAAGAGCTAGGGGGAGCAATGCAGTGCCTAAAGCCCTTCCCCTCTACCTTGTCCTTGGGATGGCTGTGTGAATGACTCACGTCCTGCTGCCCACTCACTTTCTTAGCCTAAAACCACATGTCCTGGGGTGTGGTGGCAGTGAGCTGACCTTCCCCTCCCAACCCTCCCTGTCTGCCACAGGATCTTCATTGTACACAGTTCCTAAGTTTCCAGCAAGTTGCCCTTCCTCCTTGCTTCCTGGGTAAGAGCTGAGAAATGTGGGCCTTGGAGAAAATGGGAGACCCAGTTTAGGTCTCCAGAGAGGTCTTTCTGAACAAGTGTTCAAAAACACCGGGCTGTCCTGAAGCTGGCTCAAGGGAAAACCAGAGACTTCAGGACCATTTCAAACTCTAAGAACTGTCCTTCTGCCCCCTGTCTGGGTCCTAAGCCACATCACACCCAAACATGTGAACTTAAAACCAAAGGAAAGAGACCAGGCGATGAGCAGTCAGGAAGGAACCACATAAAGTGTGGAGTGGGTGGCGCTGTCCCCCACTCCTTGGGTGGGCAGAGGAATGGACTGACCCATTTGCCTGATGCAACCAAAATCCAGCTCCTTATTGCTATGGGACACTGGCCTGAGACCAGTCTCAACCAGTGTCTCCACATCAGAGCTTGCCTTTCTGGGTGCTTGAAAGCACCCTCCCCAAACATTCCCTCTTTGTCTGGAACTTTTCCTGGACCTGGTGAGGGCAGAGCTGTGGATACTGGGTGCCCAGTCCTATTTGATGGGAAGTGAGGAAATGTTTGAAGGCAGAGGCCAGCCACATCCACAGCAGGTAGGAAAGTGGAGGTGGTGATGGTGATGTGTGGCCCTTATTATTTATTATTAATTAATTCTGAACCTATTGCCTATAGGAATTGACTACAGGTGTGTGGAAGACAGACTTCCTTTCTTGAGAAGTCTCAAGAGAACAGAGTTTTCAGTAACTCTGAGACATGGTCAGGCTACTTTATCAACTTTATTTTTGGAGAGACCATGTGCCCCTGACTTCCTGCCTCTTCTTGTGCTGGAGAAACTGGGGACAATCTTGGAGTCAGCTCTCCTAGATGTGCCCTTTCTATTCCAACAGGGTTTGAGGAAGCTTAACATGCTGGCTGTAAAAGCAACAGAGTTAATAAAAATAAGAAAGAAAGAAGGGGGGAAGTAAATGTGTTAAGTGCAAACAACAGTTAACACCCTAGGGCATCATAGTTGCCTCTGCACTTACTGACAGCCGGAGAAAAGGCACCTACGGACTTGAAGTTTGTTAAGTGCTTCGCTCTTTTAACTGTTGCTTCATTCTCTGGGCCTCAGTTTCTTAGTCTGCAAAACAAGGTGCATCAACCTAAAGTTTATTGAGAGTGTTGCATGATATGATACACACAGAGCACCTGAAACAGTGCTTGGCAAGTTGTAAACCATCCGTCGCAATCACAGTAATTCCTACCTCATTCATGTGTAAGCATAACCAAGTGGGAGTTGTGGGTAGAGTGGAGGCAGTTTCCATTTGTTCAAAGGCTCCTGCCTTCTCTTCCCTGCTCCATCCAAATCCTAATGGACAGCCTCTGAAATTGCCTTTGAACCTGGTCTTGTTCCACAATGTTCCCATTCCACTGCAGTTCGTCCCCTCCAAGCAGACTATTTCCGGGATGCTTACTTCATGCTCATTGAACAATGACCTCAGAAACATTTCCTTGACTGCAAGTCTCTCAGGCTCTGAAAGTGCAGAAGTGGTATTGCGTCCTCCTCTTGTCCCACTTCTGCAGGCCTGCAGGGGGTGGTGGGTCTGCTTTCCCAGATCTCAAAAGCTTAGCCTCCACCAAGTGAGTGAGAGATGGAAACACCTCCAAGAAAACTCCAAACCTGCAGTGCCCAGGTTGGTGTTTAGCAGCATGTGGTAGGTTGTATTGCTTTGTGCTCTTTGAGGATGAGGATGGGTGGGGGACCCTTGGGTTTGTGAGCTTAGTGGGAGTAACTCTGATCTACCAAAGATCCTGTGGGCAGTCAGGGCCAGGGCCAGGCCCAGGCCTCCCACCACCAGGCCAGTGAGCCCACGATGTGTCCTCTGCTACACACTGCTCCTCCCCCTGTGGCAGAAGGTCCCAGGTTTTTGTGGCCCCTCATTTTCTTTGAGCAGTGGGAGAAGTGTGAAAAAGCTTGGCCCAGATGGCAGCTCTGACACCTCTCTCTCTCTCTCTCTCTCTCTCTCACACACACACACACACACACACACACACACACACACACACCCCAGGCCTTCAGCTAGTTTAAGAAGAACATGAATGCCGAGAGAGGACCATCCATGTGCGAGAACTTTAGAAGGGCTCTACATAACTTGAGGCCTCGTAATGGCCCTGTAACAGTAGGGACTCTCAACATCTCCCCTTTACAGATGACGAAGGCAGAGAATTAATTTGCCCATGGTCACAGGACTAGTGAAGAGTGAAAGGGCGGGCCTACGCCAGCCGACTCCATCTTGTTCTGTGTCCTTCACCTTGACCACACCTCCTCCCCTTGAGTAACCCCCCCTCACCTGCCTAACAGGACTCGGACCCTTCCCCAGGACCCTTCCCCAGCCAATCGGCTGAGGCCATAGCCATTACCTCACCAACTGCCCCCAGGCCCCAATAAAACCTTTGTCCTTTTGAAACTCGCTCTCTTTCCCTGGTATCTCACCGCTGTGTCGGTGCAGGTAGGGGATTGAGCTCGAGCTAGCTCGAAAAAAGGCTCTTTGCTTTTACATCGGACTCGGCTCCCTAGTGGTCTTTGGGGATCACGAATTCTGGGCATAACAAAGAGCAGAGCAAATAGTATGGCTTTACAGTCTGTTTAACCACTAGACCAAATGCTCTCTGCCCTCTTTCCCATGTCCAGCGATAAGGTCAGAACCAGTGCCATTTGTGTGTCAACTGGTGGTCCTCTTACCTCCTCTTTCCATTATCAAGGCACTGTAACTTCTCTCATAGGCAGAGCCTTACCTCTTCTCCCCTATGGGAGGATGAAGATTATCAGGACCAAGACAAGTCCAGGTCTCTAAGGGCCGTACTCCACTGATGCTCTCTCCCCTGGTGAGGTGGCCAGGACCCACCCTAATCTCCCATCTCTCTCTTCTTATAGTCTGGTTGGCAGAGGCGCTCTGTTGTCCTAAGGAAGAAGGATAGGACCAGCTTAAAGATGTTGGCAGAATTCATCTGTAATGACGAATTCTCTGAGTCTCTGCCCCAGGGCTCTCCCATTCTCTGCAAGCCCATCCCAAAGGGCCTGGACTGTGCTCTCTCACTGATGACTACTCACTCTGGCTGCCCCCCCCACCCCCCCACCCCCGCAAAGAGGTTGTCTAGCAAGTATTTGCCAACTTGAAGGGCTAAATACCACAGATGAGCAAAAGTACGCCCATGGACAAAATGAAAACAAAACA